CATTATGCATGTTATTTTAAAACACTTGTGACAATTGTGTACAAATCCTTTCAAACTCTCACTCTTCCATGGCATCTGGACAATGATGCATGCATTACATAATAGGGAACCACCACCCCTGACATCCAGGGTTAAAAACCAGAGATAAGACTCAATAGGTCACAAAAGCTCTGGAAAACCTTATGAAAACCACTTCAATACTGATATTAGCATTTGTTTTACTAAACAAAAGTTGAAGAAATTTGAAAAAAAAATATTTCGAAAATTTCAAATCGATCGTAGTCTGTGCTGCCTCAGGCCAGAATGCCTCGCCACCCTATTCGAACAAACCACGTATACATCCGCCCTGCCACACGTAAATCAAGTGCACCCTACTTTTTCCCGACCAATCCAATCACTCTGCATAGCTATAGCTACTGTCACCTGTACAATTCGCTTTGAATATTCATTACTCTCGAGTCCCACACCTGTCTGAAACCTATTATTATTGGGAAAATGAAAGATACCAACAATTATAAACTGCTATACTACATAACGCAGTAACATTTTGTTTTTTCTTCTGCGTTTTTTTATTTATCCTTGCATCTGAAAATGTGAAGCACTTACAAATGAAAACGCGATTCATGGAAAATGTCCTTAAAGGCCATAAAATGTCTTTTTATCAAATACATGTATATATGTAACACCCTGCAAATCGACAAGATTCTAAACATAGGATATACACCTCCTGACGAAATCTTACGTAGTTGATAATGAAATGACCTGAATCTATCGTCAAGCATTGTCAGCTTTTGTTTTAGGAAAGCCAATTAATGATATAGTTACGACCGAAATAGCGCAATATCCGGGTCTTTCAGTGAGAATTAACATGTACTACCATGCTGTCGACCGAATCCACAGTGTCAGTGAATCTAACGCACAAAGAACCCGTTTTAGCAAGTATTATAAGAATCATGTTATGAAAATCTATTGAGATATTTGCGTTCACAGTTTGATTGGGATAAAACCCAGATTTATTCAGATCATGCGAGTAAGAGGGTACCGTAAGAAGATTTTATAAACCGCACAATGTACAATACAATGTAGGAGTAGGTTGAAACACAAAACAAATTACTCATTTATAGCGATGATTGAGGTGTTGTTTTGAATATGTGTTTGATTTAGAATACATGCCATACTTGAACTCCAAAGTAGTTAGCTAAATAAAGCGAGAATAACTATATTCTCCTCGGCTGGAAAGGGGTGTTTGTTAGCTAGATGCACATGGACAGCTGCCGCTAAAACGTATGGTTGTACAGTTAATGGTTTCTTCATTTCAGATTAAAACGCCAAGAAAACATTGTCCCTTGTCAATTTCTCGACTTTAATTTTTCATAAGGATTATCAAACTATATTATTACGAACAATTATCATATAAGAACATGAAAAATACTTTCTTCAGCAAATTGTCCCTTTAAGTAAAAACCAATTATTGTCATATCTACAGTCAGTGTAATAATGTGAAAGTACCGATCGGATATTGAATACGTTCGATGTACAAATGTACCTTATTTTCTCTGTCAGACTCATTTCAGCTTTTTTCATTCCGTAACATCGAAAGTCCAATTTTACCATATCGCGCATACAAATGTACATCTTGTATGTGCGTGTTTTATCGCTCAACGGGGCGATCGATTGGTTTAGTCGCACAGTTTTCACACTGTGTGCGGACGATGCAAGCACGATGTGCGCGCGGTAACTTTGGTGCGTTGTGCGATCAAACAGCTGTGTAAGTACAGCTACATGAACATAATTGAAATGAAATAATTTTAAAATGAGGTGAACAAATATATTGCCTATATTTCAAGACACTTTTAGATTAAGTATAATTAGCTTATCTGTCTCTCCAAATACTTTCTGTTATCACTATGGTAAAATTAATATTGGATGTTAAGTTGGCGATGATGGTTAGGTGCGTGTTACACTTCATACTCAGATGATGATCACAGGCTAGTGTTAACTTATATATTCGCTGAACGTTTTAGAAAGGAAGCCTTAAAATACAGTTCAGGGCTTTAAAACAGTAATGGGTTTTTTCCAAAAAAAACAAAAAGATGATTTTACACATAAATTGAAAAACTCTAACTTCATAAAAACGTGTAAAAATGTATATGTGCGTTTATAACTGTATCTGTAATTTCTTATTCCGAGATTGATACTTAAAAAGCAAACAAGTAGAAATTCTGTAGTTCGTTATTTATATGACAGTGAAACGTTTTAAGATGTGAAGTGAACTACGTTTTGTAAAAATTTACTTTAGTTTTTCATTTTGTTTGCTTGTTATGTTTGAATACCAACAAAGCTAGCATATGCAAAAAAATGACAAAGCTAGATAAGGATTTGTTTTATAAAATATGGAGTTGTAAATTCCAGTAGCTGTAACACTTTATACGATAAGCGATCATGTTTTTTATTGTCTATAAACTCACCATATGGTATTTGTCTTTTATATGTAATAGTCTACTTACACTGACCTAAGCACACTGTGGAACATGATGCGTGACACAGTTATAATCAACTATGATACATTAACGTCGATATAAACATGAACCTCCCCACATGACATGACGTTCATTATCACTTAATGCTATGTTTGATGTTTAATGAACCATTAACGGATCCCCTACCCAAATTTCATGTTGATGTAGCGTATTTTGGTCACATATACTAATGAATATTTTAGTTTTTTTTGAAATTGCATTCAATAGCATTTTAACCTATAAACTGCTATGGATGATCCATTATCCTACGCAATGTAAAGCCACCACCAAATCAGTAAGGACTCGTTCAATGACCGATACACATTCTAAAGAACGCCAGTAAACCTAGGAACCCACACAGTGTTTCCTTGTTAGTGGGCTTGTCCCTATCATCATGTACTCATTTTTTTTATAGAAAATAACGTTTATTGATCACATGAACAGCCATTTTAATTATGTCATATTTATGGGAAAGGAAATAAATTCGTTATCTTAATGTACAGCGACCAATCATTATAAAAATGAGAGAAGATATTAGACAGGTATTACCGCCAAACTATGATAATCTAAATTTTGCAATTTTAAGTAAACCTCAACCTGAGTATTCATAAGACAAGCTGAGTCATTATGCCTTATATATACAAGTGTCGTCAGAAACTGGTCTTGACTATCATACCTTGAGGAATTGGTGTGGTCCATTTTGTTTCAAATTCAGGTAAGTTATTTATGATATATTTTTGTGTTTCTTTTGTAAGTATATAATTATGTGTTTTTTGCCATTATGTGATTATACATATGTACAGTATGACTGTTAAGAGAATTCAATGGTTTCCTCGATTTAAGTTACAAAGGTAATGTACATGTTTATTATGACAGTTCAGTCCACAAAATGGAACTTGATATTGTTTTAAATTTCCGTGGTCTGTTATTGTACTGGTTTTAAAATAAAGAACAAGTTTAATTACACATTTCAATTGATAGTGATAAAAGATAGATAGCTGACTGGAATAACCTATAATTGTTAAAACGTTTTTAAGTACTTCTGCTATAACGTTTTAGATATCTTGACATGCAGCTGTACAATGTTTAAAAAAATGATTTCACACAGTGTTAAATCTGCCTTCAACTAAACAATACATATGTCCGCCGGTCACTGTCATCCTGTCGAAAGAGATACACAATTGCTATTGCATTTTTTGGTAGTAAAGGTCTATGCGAAAATGTGTCCCACTACAGCTGAACATTAAGTTAAGCTATCATATACGGATACATGCTAGACATGTAGCTTGATATTCACAAATCAAACAGTTCTTCTTCATATATACATATACATTCATATGTGTAGGATCCCGTATATCATATGTGTATTTATTTAAGTACAGCCACTGATTATTGATAAAATTATATGTCACTGAATTTTATCTATGGTTTTTCTGATATTTTCGACTCTCCATGTCAAAACTTAGATCTACAGATAGTGAAGCCAAGGAAAGACTCTTTTTTAAAACAAAATGTATAATGATTTAGTTGGTAATGTTCAGATTTCTGCTATATACATACAGCTAAAGTGTTTGGTTTTATATCTCTTTATGATCTAAAATTACAGCTAGACAGCGGCAAATTCGGTGTAATTTAAATCATATAATAAAATGCGATTTTAATTCGCTGGTGCATTTCTTAGTCCCCGAAGTTTGCTGTAAACGTGATGACTATACTAAGCTGTTTTGGATGCATGTAGTAGCACTGTCATAATATACACAATATAATCATCTCTTTAATTTGAAAGTAACCCGTAGTCCCCTTATGTTTGAAATGAATATACTGATGGGCTTTGAAGCACCCCCCCCCCCCCCCCCCCCCCCCCTGCTGTCGGCCTTAGCATCAATGATAAGTCCTTTAATATACAATGGAGAAGGATAACACTGCTGTATGGTGTAATGCAATTTTTGTATTTACAGGTATTAATTTGTATAGGTACAACCACATGCGTCCTACGTTCATCTTACTGGATTTATATTGGTAATATTTCTTTGATTTGTATTCTTAGAATATCAACATGAAGTATTTGGGCCTGATCATGTGTTCACTGGGCGTTGCCCTAGCCACGTACCCACCCTATGCCCAACCCACCTATATGGGTGGACGTAGAGTTGGGATGTCCGGAAGTGTTTCGAGCAGTATGCAGCCAGGTTTTAACACCCAGGGATTCACTAGAATGCAGCAACCAAGTTATATGTTAGGAAGGGTGATGAACTCCCAACCTTTTTCGAACTCAATGAATGGCCGTTTTATGTCGGGGGGTGCATCGTCAGGTCCAAGCTTTGTAGGAACAGTTGTTCCAACATCTACAGGGGACATGGGAGTGGTACCCAGAACAAGAATTACAACACGATACACCGTCCTCCCACCTGGTGTCGGTCCTGTTACTTCCGCCTTTGCTGGCACTAACAATGCCTTCGGTGGTATGTCAGGATCGTTTAGTTCTGCTCCATATATGACTGTTGGCATGACAGGTATAGCAGGTGGATCACCCTATATGTCTGGAGGTATAGCAGGCGGATCTCCCTATATGTCTGGAGGTATAGCAGGCGGATCTTCCTATATGTCTGGAGGTATAGCAAGTGGATCGCCCTATATGTCTGGGGGATTGTCAGGTATGACAGATGGGTCTCCATACATGGCAGGAGGTATGACTGCTTCTGGAGGATATCCAATGTATAACAGTTTTAACATTAACGGTGTTGGGGGACCATCATCAATGGCATACAGATCATTCGGACAATCTGGCGGATCCTCATATTACCCTTACTCAACTGGAGTGGCTACAGGAATGGGGAGTTTTCCACAAATGTCTACTGGTAGTTTCAACAGTTTCGGAGGACCGACTAGCTTTGGACGTGGCAATGCTGTTGGATTTAGCCCTGTGATGCGTAAGTCACTGTTATTATTTTATCTTTTTGTTTAGTGAAATAGAGTGAGATTTAAAGAAAAATTCTCAAAAACGATTTATTGCAATTAAACAAAATATATCAGTTTTGTCAGTACATGAGCCTTAACTGCGTATATTTAATCCAACGAGTTAGGTATTTGATATGTCATTGCTAAAGTAAATAAGATCAGCCAATTTACTCGAACATTTCGTTGAGGCTAATATACATTCTAGATACGCAAGTAACAGGGATTGACTATGTTGTGTGTTCTACTGAAACATGCTACGTAATGACTTCAAAGTCTTGATTCTGTGTTATTTCTTTTACAGATCATAAGAAGAGGGGAGCATATTAAAACATCCCTTCACACGGTCTCATGAAAATGTTTCTATAACAATTGCTATCGTTATGTTAGATACAGACAGTTCAATATATTATTGAACATATTGTCTGACTTTTCGCATTGAAAAAACTTCATACATTTATATATCAGATATTTGAACTTATGTGTTTGTTTAGAAAAAAGTATCACACATAATTGTTTCCTATCTTGGTAGAACTGATACATAAGTGGTGTGTTTCTATATAATTTGCTGCTTTTAAGTAATAAATAAATTGGAAAATATTTCTATATGAATAATCACTAATTACTATCTTCAGCAAAATGTATGTGAAGTTTATCTCCGTGATGGTGTTGTATCTATACAAGTACGGTCTATGTACATCAAAGAAACATAATACAACCTTTATATATTTGAGATGTGAGATATGTAAAATCATTGAACTTCTAGAAATAAAGTTGACAATATCAAGCATTTTATTATTATTTTTAACTCTTTAGGTTTCTGCCAGTTCTTAAATCGACGCTGTTGATAAAAAATAATGCAGACATAACACAACGACCTATCTATCGGAATCATAAATCTGTAATTAACAAAAAGTGTGCCAATATGGAAAGAGGTCTACCGTCATCCTTTAAATAAGAATCTGCAAACCTTGTTCCCAGCGTCAGACGATGAGGTCGTGGTTGGAGTATCCTGATATCTCGAATTTACAGTCTATGAGCTCACTAATAGTAAAGACCAAAACAAGCAAGATTGTCTTACGATGCATATGTTACCTCCCCTTGTACATACATCGGCAGTGCAATACCTATTGTTATACTATCCTGCTGTCATCGTCACCTGTTACGTCAGTAGCTTTTGATATCCTTTTCAATTTTTCTGCAGGCTGCAGAGTAACTTTTAATTGAATAAACAACAAATATTGTGATAAGGTTCGAATGTTTATATCATGAAGACAGTAACATTGTAGTCGCATCCATTCGCCTACAAAATCCGGCAAATAGTCACAAGATGTAATAAAACAGAAAACAAAAAGTCAAGAACAATTGTATCACCATAATATACAATAACGTACAACACTGTAAACAGTGACGTATTTCACTAAGTGAACAGTGATCTATTTTACACTGTAAACAGTGACGTATTACACACTGAAAACAATGATGTATATCACACTGTAGACAGTGACATATTGAACACTATGAACAGTGACGTATTTAACATTTAAAAGGGTAAGATAAAAAGGAAAAAAAGACCGGAGTCCGTAAGTATGTAACAAACACATGGTTCTTATTGGTGAAGAGTGAGAAATATTACCGCACCAAACATTAACTTTCTTTTCTCTTGTATATCCATTCACAACGCACAACCAACATACGTCCATATGATCAATTTGTGTCAATATTACGAACGTACTTCAATAAGTCAATGTATTCAGCACACAAGTTTTGGAGGTTGAGTAATACAACAGGGAATCTACTTCTATGGTTTGGCAATACGTGCTACAGCATATCTCAGGAGGCACCACACGCATTAACTAATGCCCGTACCTTATCGAAAGAAAGAAAGCACCTGCTGAATTATATTTGAATTATTTATAGCTTTCATGTATGCAGCTAAAGACAACCTGATATGTGCATTCGTGCTTCTGGTAGTAAAGTTCATTTTTATTTTATTTTTTATCTATCAAAGCATACTTTTAAATTGTAATTCTGTATCGTTTTCTTCCTCATTACTGTGGAAAGTGACTAGTACTGTTTCTTTATCTAATTTTTGTTGTCTTTGGTTATTAGTGAAGTCGGAAGCTCAACATTTGGTGCATTTATTTTAAGTGGAAAACATACTGCATTTACACATTAAATCACAAAAAATGGAAAAAAAGTGCTACTGAAGTCCATCGTGATCAAATGTTCACCTAAAAACGTTCGGGTAACCTTAGCAAGGTCTTCGCCCCATTTGGAGGCAAGATTTCGTAGCTAGACAAAATGGCGTTCATCAGTGACAATCAACTTCAGTGGTTAGTAAATATCATCATTATTGTAAAAGTATGCAAACAGACGCAAAGGTTATCACATCATTCAAATTATGCAAGTTCATTCAGTGACAAACATTCGAGATCGTATAAAAAAGAATTGGGCTTTGTGCTGATGAAACATTCCATCTGTTTGATTGTGGCGTGGAGAGTACACATATATATGTACTCTACACCACTGAGGTGATATAAATGTTTGAAAATGTACACTCCGCGGAACGTCTCACTCAGTTTGTCTGCCAGTTACACATCATTCTCAACTCAGAGCGGCAGGGATCCCCACACCTGGTCAGTATTTTAGCCAATTGTGAATTGTCATTTTAAATATTAGTTCTTTTTATAAATATCTAAAGTACAGTATCAAATATTGCCATGCCTTTAGTTATATTTTCATCCTGAAAATGAAAAAGAAGGAAAACATTAGACATATAAAAAGTATATGATATGAAAACTACTTTGTTTAATAGGCTTTTGTTTGCTATCATCAAGATTTGAAATGGCGTCTTTTTTGTGTGTGTTAAAGCTGACGATCCAAACTGATAAGTAGACCTAGGCCTCATTCATTGACAAGTTTGATGTGTAAGTCGTTAACATGATTTTGTTACTTTCGGTAATTTACTCATTAATTTGAAACCAAAAAAGTCTCTGCCCACTTATGTCATGTATCTTAACATATCATATGATTATATCGTTCAATCGATTTACATATGCACGCTGGACATTTAAAATGTTTATATATACTTTAAGTAACTGCGGTCGTATCAGCTGAACTGCTTGTTAATATACTATTTAAAACATTTGTTAGTAAAAAGGTGTATCGTCAGCAGCTTCACGATCCCTTTTACCTCACACCTAATGTAAACACACCGATCACTTTCCAATATGGGTATGAACAGACTAAGTAAGTTGGAAATACGTAATTATTGTTTTTTCCCTGATAAAGGTTTACGAAAGAGTGTGGATACATCAACAAACAATCTGATTTTTTCATTGTAAAATTGTTTCGCTATATTCCATATAAATATTATCAGAAATAGAGTTTATAATAGATTATCTATTGGACAGTTGTAACCAAGCCTAGTGTACAGATGAAGTACATCTTTAATATCATTCTCATTGATGAGCCCGAATTATAAGATATTACAAATTGTATCACACTTACTCGCCGGCAAGTTTGAGATATTACTAATTATATCGCACTTACTCCATACATGTATCATATATTACTAATTATATAACAATTACTCGCCGACAAGTTTGAAATATTACTAATTATATAACGCTTACCCCCTGACATGATTCATATAATAATAATTATATAGCACTTACTTCCAATATTTATCATATTTTACTAATTACATAACACTTACTCGCCGGCAAATTTGAGATATTACTAATTATATAACACTTACCCCCTGACATGTATCATATATTAATAATTATATAACACTTACTCCAAACATGTATAATATATTATTTACTTTATATCACTTACGCTCCGGCATGTATCAAATATTACTAATTATAAATCACTTACCCTCCGGCATGTATCAGATATTACTAATTATTAATCACTTAGCCTCCGGCATATTTCAGATATTACTAATTATAAATCACTTACCCTCCGGCATGTTTCAGATATCATAATTATAAATCACTTATAATTACCCTCCGGCATGTTTCAGATATTACTAATTATAAATCACTTATAATTACCCTCCGGCATGTTTCAGATATTACTTATTATAAATCACTTACCCTTCGGCATGTTTCAGATATTACTAATTATAAATCACTTATAATTACCCTCCGGCATGTTTCAGATATTACTAATTATAAATCACTTACCCTCCGGCATGTATCAGATATTACTAATTATAAATCACTTAGCCTCCGGCATATTTCAGATATTACTCATTATAAATCACTTACCCTCCGGCATGTTTCAGATATTACTAATTATAAATCACTTGCCCTCCGGCATGTTTCAGATATTACCAAATTTAAATCACTTACCCTCCGGCATGTTTCGGATATTACTAATTATAAATCACTTACACTCCGGCATGTTTCAGATATTACCAAATTTAAATCACTTACCCTCCGGCATGTATCAGGTATTACTAATTATAAATCACTTAGCCTCCGGCATATTTCACATATTACTCATTATAAATCACTTACCCTCAGGCATGTTTCAGATATTACTAATTATAAATCACTTAGCCTCCGGCATACTTCAGATATTACTCATTATAAATCCCTTACCCTCCGGCATGTTTCAGATATTTCTAATTATAAATCACTTACCCTCCGGCATTTTTCAGATATTACTGTTTATAAATCACTTACCCTCCGGCATTTTTCAGATATTACTGTTTATAAATCACTTACCCTCCGGCATGTTTCAGAGATTACTAATTATAAATCACTTACACTCCGGCATGTTTCAGATATTACCAAATTTAAATCACTTGCCCTCCGGCATGTTTCAGATATTACTTATTATAAATCACTTACCCTCCGGCATTTTTCAGATATTACTGTTTATAAATCACTTACCCTCCGGCATGTTTCAGATATTACCAAATTTAAATCACTTACCCTCCGGCATGTATCCATAAACTCTTCTAATGATATGACGCCATCTTTATTTAAATCCATTTTCTAAAAATATAATGCATTTTTTTAAGGAATTATGGATTTTCAGAAATAGCCTTATTACTCCCGTTCCATTCCTTTGTGGTTATGAATAATATTTTGAACAATTACACGTTTTAAAATATGATCGATCTCTTGCAACAGATTATCTTACTATTGATTCAATTGACTTCAGATTACAATTCGACTGTTTCCATGCTGTCCAAGTCATGAAAAAATGTCTGATACAGTTTCTGTGTCAAAAATCAATTATTACTTACATTCAGTTAATATTTATCAATTATACATTGTAAGATAAAGCCAGAGTTATTGCTTTTGACGTTTTGTCATCTTTTACCGGTTAATCTGTTAGTTCAAGATTGATAATTCCTTTTTTTTATGAACTTCTACTTTTAAAGTGTGGTAAAGCCCTAATTTACTTGTCGACGGCTCGAAACGCTGTACAGTACTAGACGATACTGCTCTTCAGACATAAGTATTATCTCTGTTAAATATAGATACAGAGCAAACAAATTGCGATACCATAGCAACTGCTTTAAATCCAATAACGCAAACTACAGCAATTTGTTTCATACGCAATGACACGTACGATTTTACTACTAAGAATGCACCTATGTCAATAAATGTTTCCGAAATATTTAATGTTCACAAAATGTTTCTGTCATTTTCGAAAGGGCAATTTAATATGGAGATATAAATCATATCAGCTATCAACATACAGGTGCAATACGCAATTCATCGTCAAATCTAAACATTTATATAGTTGTTTTAAATATCAATAAGATATATTATTAAAAGGTTAAAGTCTGCTGGAGGATATCAAATTATTTCGCTTTTAAAAATAATAAACTCAAAATACATATCCAGCTCTGTTTAATAGATAATATATATATATATATATATATATATGTATATATATATATATGTTTGATTTATATTCCAATATTGATAACTTCTGGTATTTTAGTGTTTGAATGTTATAACAAAATACATATCAGAATAAAAAAATACAGCATATGATCATTGACACCATCTCTGCGACTTTCTAGAGTGTGACTTGTGTTCATTGTAAACTCGTATCTAGTGTGACTAGTGTTCATTGTAAACTCATATCGAGTGTGACTAGTGTTCAATGTAAACTCGTATCGAGTGTGACTAATGTGCAATGTAAACTCGTATCGAGTGTGACTAGTGTTCACGTTAACTCGTATTACGGTAGTATTCTATCATGCAAAGTAACTTCATATACATGTTACTTTTCTTATCGACATAACAGGATCAGCAATCGATTCTTGCAGTATGATTTTAAACAAACCAAATATGTGTGTTATTATATAGGTAATAATGTATTTTTTCTTGGTGATACTTCAATTTCATTTTTTTTCACACAACAAAACCTTTTCGGTTTATGTCCGTATTCAAGTTTTATTCCTTTTCGATATTTAAATTTGATAGATATGTATTATTTGTTTCGTTAATTATAATGTTCTACGTAATATTCAAACTAGTGAAGTACCAAAACTACCACGTGATATATGTTTGGTTGTCTCCCTGTTGCCTATATTACATATGATAAACTACACATGATAAGATATCGTATAACATAGGACTTAAAATGCTGTAATAATTCAGTATAATGTGGAATAATCAAAAACTCATCTCTGCGCTGCAACCCATTTTATGAATACAACATTGGATTTTTTCGAACATAAACAGAAGAACATTTTCATTTCGATTGTTCAAGTTCTACCGCATCTAATGCTAGATCACCGCTTGTAGCAAGCATTGCTATATCTATGTAGCAATATTTATGTTGCACACTCGTTGTAGGACACCTTAATTACACAAAACCAGGTAACGCCGAATTTGAGTCCGCTAAGAAAAGGACGTTTACAGTATGTGTATAACATGTTTTAGCTGTAATTCTTTTAGAGTTCACATGCATGTACTAAACGGGTTATCACAAATTGGCGAGTGTTCACTTAATCCGGTTACAATCATATATCATAGCATGAAGCTCTAGGTAAGAATGCATCAATCATTACATTGAATGGTAATTATCCTAGCACGTTACAGAACGCTAATATTGACTACACTGGTCTTATTATTTTTATTACTGTTTTAAATGCACTTAATCATTACCGTAATGTTTTAAAGACTGCAATAAGTAGCACACGTACTTTTAATATTCGTCTGCCTTACATGTTGAAAAAAACTATAACTTGAATATTCCTAAACCGAACCAAAATGTAGCAAGCACAACCTTGCTTATTCCTAAAGCAAACGCCATAAGCTTAACATACACGTTGTATAGGATAAGCATGTCATTTGCTCTTTTTAACATTTTTCTTAACATTTTCTTCGGATTGGTAAGTATGGATTGTGAAAAGATTCATTTAGCACAACCCAAAAATGTTTACATGTGACGTTTCGATGACTAATACGGTATATTTCTTCAAATAATAAACTGCACTCTGTTCTGTTCTGATAATTCTTAAGACGCCAACACATCATATCTTGATCAATGCTAACTATAACAGATTGCACCCTGTCGTGCTCTGGTAATATTTAAGTATACTGGATTGCTGTAACACTCGAATTGACTGTTTGTAAGCTTACGGTATTGCAATAGGAGCTACCTTGAACATGTTGCAGTCGTTCACCCATAATTACTTGTTTTATATAAGGATTGAACGGCACCTGTGAATGTTCAAGCCGGTATGAACGCGAATCGGGTATTTATAAACTTTTAGTATTCAATTAAGACTGCGGTTCAAAACATATATATACATTCTAAATGTTTTAGTTGATATTGCTCTAAATACAGATATCCACTCATATTTTCGATATCAAAGTTTCAATCAATGTAAACGAGACTCATGGAACAGCATATCCTCACCACAATGTTTGCTTCCGAGTCTTGTCGCACGTTTTTGGAGGCGGGCGAAGCTTTAAAATGACACTGATCAATTTGAGATGATAGCCCTATGAACGCGTTTATTTCTGGTAATGCTCATATAGGAACTTGTAATGGAAATATAAATACACAACTATATTTACCTGGAATACTCTGTCGACATGGTCTCGCGCTGTTGATTCGTCTACGGTTGGTTCTGAGAATCTGCCCATCATTTCGTATATAGCTGACACTATATCGTTCATTTCTTCCTTCGTTATGATGCCATCGCCGTTAATATCATACAGACCAAAAGCCCATTGTAACCGTTCTTGTAGAGTTCCACGAGATAATACTGATAGCCCCATGACAAATTCCTGAAAAGTTAAACGAAAAATATAACCTAGTATCAACTTCAGAAATGAGAGTGATGATTACATATATTTTTTCCCAAATACAATTAAACCTTTTATCTATATTTTAATTTATTTCTGCGTTATAGATATTCAACACGTTCTAGGTTTCTATTTAAAGCAGTTTAAATAAATAACCACATGGACGCCCTATTCATACTGAAAATGCTGCGCATGCGTCAATATCTTGAGACCAGACACATCAACACACTCCCAGGGGATCGCACGGATTGTTTTTCTAAAAGAATCGAGTGACAACTTCCTTGTACTGATGTGTTCCATAGTGTACTTTTGACTGACGGCTTGACATCTTGAACCGACCAGTCTAAATGGTGTACTCTTTCTGGTAGCCGAGGAGAAACGGGCTAAGCATTAACTATTAATGAAGATGGGACTGTTGTTAACTTGATGCTGATAGGGAAATATTTTTCTGATATCGTTAGAGAAACTGTTTCCCATTGGATGTTAGGAATAATTACTTATTTAGAGAACGGAAAGGAAAAGTGCTAACAAAGTTCCCTCCTTAATAGATAACAAACCATATATTCATATTGAATTAAGTAAAACTAATACGGAAAGACAAGCTACATTCTCCCGTTAGCTGAGAGTGTTAGGCGGCGTTTATAACTCGGTGAGGGGAGGGGGTCTGGTAAACAATGGTTCGACACCTAATGTCGTGAGCGCTATTTGTCTGTCATTTACATGGTCATGCAATCCATAGTAAAAGCCTGTACAGTAAGAATGCCTGCAGAGAATTAAGAGTTGAATGGTATGTGAAATATGATATCAAAACAGCAAATGGAGAAAAATATTCAAGAAAGCGCCATTGTTTTTACAAAAGCACTGATGAAAAAAATTAGGAGGATATCACTGCAATTGCAATAAGTCGGAGATAGGCGTAGTTGATTTGAACCCGTAATGTGTTGTGAATGTGAATGCTTATATATCTGTTCAGGTAAGGTCATATGACCACTTCTACACATGATGTGATCACTGAAGAATTGTTTAAAAAATAACACTTCATGGATATTGCAAAGCTGGAAATGTTGGTATGTCACACTACCCGGTTACTTTATTCTTATAATGGGATAAACAGAGATACAGTTAAAATGCAACAAGGTCTCTTACGTGGCCCTTTAAGGGCGCAGAACAAACATCTGATTGTGAAGAAGTATAATAGTCATGCAGAAATGACATACAGCAAGTTAGTTCTTTTTTACGTCGTCCACCTCTTATGTGACACTATCTCGCATATGTACATACAAATAAGGTATGTTAGACTTGGGTTAATGTAGACACACGAAAAACGAACAATTTCTTTGATGTGCCGTCATCATGCCAATCCATAACATGCTCAAGTTTTCTGCAATGAAATCCTACACAGAAATCGGCTATTGGCTTGTTGACATCAACGACTATATGTCACCAAGTTTCAGTCGTATTATAATGAAATACGAGCCAGATTCACGCCCCATATCGATTTTACACCAGGATGAGTCCGTGCAAGTCACAGAGATTGCATGTCTAAGGATTTCATCGCGAGGCAAATAAATTAAAAATATAATTGATTTTTTTCCTTTTTCGTCTGAAAGAGTGAACTGGATTTCTTATCTTTTTATCCTTCCGGTGCCTAATGAGAGTATTCAGCATAGACTGGGATCCTAAACCAGGACAATGCCGACAACATATCACGCTATACAATTGTATTGATTTGCAACAGGAAAGGACCTGATATACAAGTTTCTATGAAACATAATTAGTTCCAGTTTGATACGTTGATATAATACGGTATATTCTTTCCAATATATAATTATATATCATTTATAATGCCCATATCTACTTTGACCTCGATGTCAATCGTGTATATATATATATATATATATATATATATATATATATATATATATATATATATATATATATATATATATATATATATATATATATATATATATATATATATATATATATATATATATATATATATATATATATATATATATATATATATATATATATATATATATATATATATATATATATATATATATATATATATATATATATAGATTTGCATATATCTTTGTAGAACAACCTCGCATATACATAGATGAAGAATTACACGTTTATTTCTTAGTTAATTTTAGCTTTACTATTAGCCTTCGTAAGAATTAAGATACGGGTAAGCTGGAAGGAATCGATATAACGTATCGTAAACGCCTCGACCTAATTTGACAGATGTTGGGTGCTACATGTGTCAGATTAAACGCGTCATAACAGGTGATTATGTAGTGAAGGAAGGACTAACCCTTTAGAAGATCTTTTTTTCACATATGCTTTTCTGAGGTCCAATATAATTTGTTCCTTTATGTTCCAGTGTCTCTTGAGTTGTTATCTTTTGCATCAAGTTTTAGTTTGTGCTTTAGAGATCTGGCGCATTTATGTGTTTTACTTATATGTAAACCATGAAGTTATTAATCATGATTCTGAAATCACCTATTTTTTTATGTTAAGGGCGATACAGACATAACCACCGCAAAAGACGTTTTGATTTTTGAGAACAGATTTGTTTAATGCATCGATAATAATCTGCCTAGATTATTTTCATTTGATGGACAGTGTTGAAATAGGTACCTTGCTCTTATATATACAAATGACATCTACATACCTTCTTACCATTTATCAATTCCGATATCGAGATTGATTTCGCTCTTATAGAAATCTTCCATTGAAATAGCAAAGTGTGAATAAATGTGATTTATTCAGGAGGTAACAGTAGCTTGTCCATTGACTGCATCGCCTCGGCTAATAAAGAAACAACGCCAAACAAGCTATGACTATGTTATTGAAGCACGATTAACCTCCGCGTCTTTAAGTCGTAAAGTAGGAAGATTGTTATAGAAAGCTGACATGAGAGCAATTTGGTAGCCATTCGATAGTTAAACGAGCGTTATATATAATAATTGGCGGTATTATGACTCTGTGGTAAGGCTGCTTATTTTCTATTTGTACATGGATGGGGATACCAGGGGAATTCCACGCATTATCAAAATTCTAAACACCTACACATTTATGTTATTGAACATATATTTCATTAATGACGTTTAGAAGCTGTTGAATGGATTTGCATTGTGCTTAAACAAAAATATGCTTTGTGAATACTTCATAACAATAAGTTGTATGTTCGCTGTACAGTTTTCCTTGTGATCCTCTTCACTACAGTAGCACTATTCGTCGAAGAACCGACCGCCCAATTACGTGTAATTGTTATTTATCGATGAAAAACAACAATATAATGCCTTCCATGATATTGCATGCATTTCAATTCCAAAAGATTATTGAACAATAATTTCAGACATTGGCATTCTGCCAAGCGCATTTGTATGCGTATTCATTATTCAAATTGAAATATCAGATATGAGTGATTCAGCATTTAAATTAAATCAACGTCCTGTATCGTAATATTAAGTATTACAAGTAAACTCGGATGAGCATCTTCGAATATACAATCGATGCTACCACATTGTATACCATAGAGGATCTTAAGAGATAGATATATTAGATTTGTCTATCAAAGGTAACAATATTAGACAGATTTTTGATAAGCATTCATATCAAGCAGGTCTTATGCCTGGTATGCTCTTTACTCACCTATTTCGTCATCAAGTCAAGAACGTATAAACAACTTAAGCTTTATGCATCCGAAACAATCGACACAGTTAGTCGTTAACGATTTGGCAGGTTTTGATAAAGTTTGGATGTCTAGAAAAAAAATCACTGTCGTCCTGAAATTCCACGACGGAATAAGAACCAGTCTGCCAGATTACGGTAAACTATTCAAAGAATTCCCGGTCAGCGATGGTGCTAAACATTGATGTTTTCTCTCATCAGCACTCTTCTCAATAATGTTCAGCGCCTTTAAACAAGACAATCCAGTTGAACAACTCACGATCTTAGAAACGCCTAACTCCAAAATCAAAAACTCTTCCACAGAACAAAAGGTTTTTAAAGATGTAGTACTACTGTTCATGTTGTTTACGAGCAGCCTAAAAAAGGACTCCTTTACAAGTTTATACTGTATATGGACACACATATATATAAGAACGCCCTACACCACAATGACCATATTTGCGCAATTAAAAAAAAAATATATGAAAAGTACTACTGAAGGAGAGGCGCTAAGTGATTCAACCAAGAGAAACTGTGTGATTCCTAAATATCGGTCAGTCACCTGCTAAATATTCGTATTTGACTTCACGTGTCATATGTGTGGTAGCCAATAGATGGTCAAGTCATATTTCTACACAAAGGAAACAATCCACTACCCAGAAACTCTCGTTTTGACCGGACATCGATGGACAAATTTATTAGAATTTACACGTCGACCAGTGTGATATACAAACCATGGTTCTATTGACATTCCCTTAAATAACCATGCATTTGTTGGGTGGTATCATAACCAGCATTTTATTTGAAGATTTTCATAAATTTATAGTTAGGACGTGACAGTAATATATCATATTCATATTCAACAACGATGATGATGCTATAAATTTGTAATTATTGAAGAATTATTTCATGGACCACATCCGTTTGACTGCTAGAACCTCGAACGCTTGAAGAGAAAAAGTAAACGAAACGTTCACATTCATGCTTATTCCTATGCAAAGATAATGTTACTGACACGATTCATTCGTAGAAAATAAATGGCAATATAATCTTAACGCCAAGCATGACGTACCTAAATCGGTAAAGGATGCATCATGTGCCATGGGAGGATTGATCATAATTAATCTTTCATTACCGGAAGACAAAAAATCAAATATTTAATTAAAATCTTGGAGATGCATGACGCCAGAAAAAAGTACTTTAGTTTTATCTAATGGCTTTAATCAGGGTGCTAATGCTATTATTTGTTCGATGTTCCTTGTATGACGCCTCCCTGCGATTAATAGCAAGGGTCA